TGTCAATGCCCAGACGGAAAGTAGCTGTGGTGAAGGGCAGGGCCCTCCACCTGGGGAACCTCAGCCGCAGCCCCCAGGAATAGCCGGTCCAAGTCTGTGCCCGTCTCTCCCACTCCCTTGTCCCCCAGCACACAGGACTATTCCCTTCTGGGAAGTGACTCTGTGGCCTCCTCATCTTAGTACAGCTTGATTCACCTAAGCAGGACACGCCAGGTGGCATCAGCAGGTGGCCTGGCCGCCTCAGGGAAAGCTGGAAAAACCCAGGGAGCAGGGAACTGGGCGAAGCTCCCAAGGTCTCAGGCTGAGCCCTCTCTGCCGTCCTCTGATAAAGGGCGTGGGGTCATGTTCTCTCAGAGACACAGGGTGGGGGAGAGCACTGAGTGGGGATCAGGAGCCCTGCGGCCAAATCCTGGCATTGCCGCCAATTGCCGTTTGACCTTGAACAAACCATTTGCCCTCGCTGGGCCTCAGTTTCCTTGTCTTAAGCGCGGGGTTTGGGGCTAGATCACTGAGGTCCATTACAGTACTCACTTTCTGTGACATCACACATCTAGGTGATGATCCCTCAGAAAGTCTCACACGGTCCCTAACACAGACCTCCCACAAGCCCTGAAACCAGAAGCTGTTAAAGACAAAATAAGGGAGCTCCAGGAATCAGACAGCAGATCCACCGCTCACCTCCCGGGTGACCATCACTGCCGTCCACTTGGGCTCTCAAGAAACTTGCCTTGGCTGTGTGCTCCCAGGACTCACCCAGAAGAAAAGGGTTTAAACCCTAAACTGTAAAGGGGGACTCATCACCTCCCTGTGCTGCCAGACAGGCACCATCCAGACCCTGAATCAGGCCATGAAAGCGACAGCAGCTGATCCCCATTCAATGGAAGTTGCTGAACTCCCTGTGAACAAGACAAATGCCAGCATTCTTCACAGCTCGGCTGTGAGCAGGGACGTGCTGGGCCTGTGAGCTGGTAGCAAGTAGAGTCCCTGGGTCCTTCCCTTGACACGAGGGAACAGAAAACTGGGCAAAGCAGACATTACCCTAGCCCCTTACAGTGTTGGGTTTCGGGCAGAAAGCTCCAGGCAGAGACTGAGCCCAGGAATAGACAGGAAAGCTTAGCCACCTTGGACAAGTCCCTTAGTCTCTGGTCTCGTTCTACTACCTGTAAAGTGAAGATAAAATCCATAATCAGGCTGGACTGAAGGTGGTGAGTTCTCTCAATTGATTGTTCGCAGTCAGTTACAGATTGAACTCCTTGTTCTGCTACTTTCCCCCCTTCTCACTACTGCACTTGATTAGTCTTAAAAAAATAATAATAATAATAATCAGATTGGTGCAAGCAATAAAATATACAGTGCATAGACATGTGCTGTATAAACAACAAAAGAGCCACCCAAATGAATTGGGTGATGATGGAAAAACAAAAGAGATATAGAACTTTTACAGTGGTGTATTGGAGCCAGCTTGACAGGTTCTACCTGCTCGCAAGAGCCAATTTGCAAATGTTCCGGAATTTTGCCAGTCAGTTAATATCCCATTGGTAGCTTGAAATCAGCCATAGTGGGAGTATTTACACTATAGAAATGGTCAAATGCTACAAATCAGGGTTTTTTTCCCCCAGAGAGCTGACTGCTAAACATTTACCATAAATAAGAGTAATGCAACCAGGAGTCTGTTGCTGCTTCAAACGCACTCACCGTAACTTTGTATGTCCAAATGAACGTTGACTATTTCACGACAGCAAGCTTGGGAGGTTATACTGTTTTCTTACACTTACGTATTTTTTTCATTTTCACAAACATTTATTGAGACCTACTAAGCACCAGGCACCAGGGTGGGGGAGTGAGAAAGTACACACTGTGGAGCGTGCTGGGAACAGAGATGGGGTGCTTCTCACTCTGCCTAAGTTGTGCGGGTCCAAGCCCAAGCAACTGGGAAGGGCACTTTAGGCACAGTAAACAGCATATGCAAAGATACAGAGGCATGAATGGATGCTAAGGCAACTTTTAAAAATTAACTTTGGGGAAGTTATAGCATTGTTATATTATAGGACTATTTTTCCTAGCCAAATGACACATCCTTCACCTTGTTCCCGTCACCAGAATTTAGCACCAAATTCTCTTCAATTGTTTCCAAAACCCAAATCCACTCTCAGGAAGTGGGAATTTGCCATCATTGAGGCCAGGTCCTCAAAGCAAATAGGAGTTTTCAAAGACATTTGATAACGGGAACATCCCTGAAGTGTCTGAGCCCAAATGCCCAAGGTGACTACTTCAGGTTGCAGCAGGCACTTGGATGAACAAGACCACTTAAATTTCCATCTCATTACCCAATAATGCTTTACAGGGAACAATAAGGTGCCAACTTTTTTCTCTTAAGACACATCCACGTGTCTGCCTTGGAGAATGCCAAAATTTATATTTCAAAAATGAAGGCCAAAAGAAAAAATCCAAAAGCGTCCAGGCAGAAAAAAGAGGTTACCTTCAAAGGAACAAAAGTCAAGGTGACCTCAGACTTGCAACATTAAACACTAACAGACAGTGGAACCAGGTCACGAATCCTATGCCAACCAAGTCTTTGTCCACGTGTAGAGTCAACAGAATGTCATTCTCTCATACACATGGGTTCAGAGAATATATCACCCACATACCCTGTTGAGAAAAATACACAGAGGGAGGGGTGTGGAGGAAAAAAAGAAAAAATATACGAAGACACATTAACTGTCTGGAAAGGAATCAAAATCCAAAATTCAAAAATGGGGAAGTTGAGGTACCATAAAAGGATTGAAAATGATCAGTAAACCAGTGAGGTCTAAAAAATAAATGATTGTTGTAAATTTGGTTTAAAATTGGATGTTATCCATTTGTGTGAAATTCTAGAATAGGCAAAAGTAATCTATGGTGAAAGAAATCAAAACAGCAGTTGTTTCTAGGAGGGCAGGGATTGAGTAGGAAGGGTTAAAAGGAAACTTTCTACACTAATAGAAATGATTGCAGATTGTAGATCTATGATAAGGGTTTGTGTTACACAGGTATGCACATTTGTAAAAACGCATTGAACTGTGCACTTAAAATCAGTACATTTCACTGTATGTAATTTTACCTGAGTCTTAAAAATAAATAATATCTTAACAACATTGAGTCTTCTAATCTATGACTATGGTATAATTTTTCTGTTTATTCAGTTCTTTAATTTCTTTCCGCAACATCTTGTAGCTTTCAGTGTACAAGTCTTATGTGTCTTTTGTCAGATTTACCCCTATTTCACATTTTTGATGCTATTATAATTGGCATTATTTATTTCAATTTTTGATTGTTCATTACTAAGAAATAGAAATATAACTGATTTTGTATATTGATCTTGTATCTTGCAACTTTGTTGAGCTCACTTATCAGTTCTACTAACTTTTTTGAGATCCCATCAAATTTTCTACATAGATAATCATGTCATCTATGAATCAAGACAGTTATTTCTTCTTTCCCAATCTGGATGCCTTTTATTTCATTTTCTTGTCTTATTGCGCTGGCTAGAACCTCCAGTAGAATGTTGAATAAGTGATGAGAGCAGACATTATTTCCTTGTTCCCAATGTGAGGAGGAAAGCAGTTAAGTATTCACCATTAAATGTGCTATTAGCTGTAGGGTTTTTGTAGATATTCTTCATCAGGCTGAGGACGTTTGGTCCTACTCCTAGTTTGCTGGCAGATTTTGTCAACTACGAATATGGAATTTGTACCAAATTAATAATTAGAAAAATGCAAATAAAATGCCAATGAGATACCACTACATAACTACTAGAATGGCTAAAATTAAAAAGACTGATCATATGAAGTACCGGTAAGGATGCAGAGCAACTGTGACTCTCGTTCACGACTGGTGGGAGTGTGGTACAATCGCTTGGGAAAACAGTTTGGCAGCTTCTGCTCCAGGCTCACAAGCATCTGCTCCAGGCTCCAGAGGAGGATTTCCAAGCAGCAGGGCCATGTCCCTGGGACTGGGGGTCAGTACTTGCCTGGGCACAACAGGCCTGGAGTGTCATGAAATCCCAGCTTCCTTCCCTGACTGACTTCAGGTTCCCAGGCACCTTGGGGTACACCTCTGCCTCTCATCTAGACTGACAGCTCTTTAAGGAACAGGACTGGGACCTATTCATCCTTATGTCCCCAGTGCCTGGCACCCAGCAAGGGTGGTGGCAGCAGAGGAGATTTGGGCAGGAATGTGCAAAGTTCAGTTTGGGTTACATTGAAACTGTAATTTCTTTGGTTGCCCCTTTATCTGTGAGAACTGACAGAATTTGTGGGAGGAGAAAGAAGCCAGGGCCACAGAGCTGGAGTGCTCAGGCTTGGCCTGAGGATGGCAAGGAGCCATGGGACTTCGTACCATACCCCATCGGAATGTGGCAGAAGGGGCCCTGGGCAGGAGTCCAGTGGCCTGTGCTCGACTACCGACCCTTACTAATCCTCTAAACCTGGATAAATTGTTTCAATTCTCTGAGTTCTTGGCACCTGCTAAATGCAGATGAAAGGCCAGGCATGGTGGATCACGCCTGTAATCCTAACACTCTGGGAGGCCGAGGCAGGAGGATTGCTTGAGCCCAGGAGTTTGAGGTTGCTGTGAGCTACGATGATGTTACTGTATTCTACCCAGGGCGACAGAGCGAGACTCTGTCTCAAAAAAAAAAATGCAGATGAAAATATTCTCCTTGCTATTTCTGTGAAGAATCTAGAAGAAATCTGGAAATTATAAAAGGCTATATAAATAAAAGGGGCATTTGCTGGTGGTACTTACTGTGCATCACCAAGCCTTTCTTGGGGCCATCCCAGAGGATGAGACCCCCAACCGCAGTCCCACTCTGACACAAGCAGGCCTCTTGTGGCATACCTTTCAGCCCAGGTGGGAGGCAGAGCCGGGGCCCAGAGCCACCGCGACACCCCGCCCCTTCTGAACCCCACACAGACCAAGTAGGCATCAGGAAAATGAGAGAGAGCCAGCTCTGAGCGTATACTCCAAGGAGGTTTATTAGCATCCACACTGGGGAGCCCGCGTTCTTGTCCAGAACAAGAGGCCGAGTGCATCCGGACAGGGAGGCGAGGCCACACAGGCTGAGGAGCCTGGCACCCACGGAGATGGTGACGTTTCTGCTTCAGGCACAGCCGATTCACCCTCCTGTGCCCTTTAAGTCTCCTTCTGAAGAGGTAGGGCTATGCTGCCCACAGAGAAAGCAAGGTCCCCAGAGGTCTCCTGACCTGCCGGACATCTACCAAACCCCCAGAAATCTAGACCCAGGCCCTCTGTCTGCTCCCCCACCTCAGCCAGGCTGAGGGGCCCCACCTCCTGCAGAGTCAGCCCCATCCCCACTCCTGCAGCCTCTGGTTCATCCCAGAACCCAACGACTACAGTCTGGAGCGGATAAATTCTATGAGGCTCTGCAGCTGCTCTTCCAGGTGCCGCGCATCTCCGTGGTTCTCGATGACCCAGTCAAAGCCCCCAAAGTTGTCCAGGCCACATTCTGACTCAGCATCGTCCACCCCTGTGGAGGAGGCACAGCAAAGTCAGGCCCCAGCCCTCCAGACGGACACCAGGCACAGAGGTCCGCTGGCCGTACGTGGAGCGAGCTCTCCCCAGCCTCCCCTCCGCTACCCCTGAGGCACGCTCTACCCACCCCGAAGGCACCTCCCCACCCCTGCAACACTGTGATGGCAGGTTCAGCAGCCCACAGCCACCTGAGCCCCCAGATGGCCCCTGTTGACTTAACCCTTCATTCACCACTGCCTACAGAGAGGGTGGATTGGGTCATTCAAAACCACAGACAACCCAAAGGGCACTGCATTTTCATTTTATATCAAGCCGGCTGTGTCCATTTTGCCTGACTCAATCCTCTCGGGAGGTAGTGTGTGCCAAGCACAGGGTGGAGGGGCCAGCTCCTGCTCTCACTCTGTGACCCTGGGAAAGAGACTTAACCTTCCCAGGCCAGCACCTCATCTGACCACGAGTGTGTTAATAGCAGCATCCACCTGGCAGATCCGCGGTGATGATAAGGAGAGATGACGTGTATAGAGTGCTCGGCACAGGCCTGGTCTGGCTGAGTGCCCCAGAGACGAGCAGCCATTCATAGTGGTCATACCCGTTGCATCTGAACTTCTCCAGGTCACAGTGACCTGGCGCAAGGAGGAGGCCTGAGCTGTGCCTCTGAATTGCCCACAGAGCAGATCCTGGACTTGCACCATGCAAGCTCCTAGTAGAGCTTCCTCTGCCACCCCTGCTACTGCGGTAACCAAACAGGAGTGAGATTTGTCAGGCTTGCCCTCTGACCACTGTCACTTCCCCCACCAGCCTGGGGAGCAAAGGTGAATGGCCATGGGGATGAGTCCCAGCCAGACCCAGAGAAGCTCACTGGCCTTGAGAAGACAGCCCAGGTAAGGGAACCAGGCCGAGATCACAGGAGAACTTCGACCCCCAAGGACACCCTCTACCACACCACTCCCTAACCTAGAGGCCTCAGATTCTGCTTTATAATCCCTCACTCACTTCCCCCAGAACTGCAGGGGAGAGCAGGAGACCTGGAGCACAGGGGGGTAGCCCGTGCCCTGCACGTGGGGTGGCTGGCCTGTATGCCAAGCCCTGGGGACAGAAGTCATGAGTAGCTCACCTGGTGTGAACACCCAGCCCCGCTGCCGCCGGCTCTGCTCCAGAGCTACCACGCGGACTGTCTGCGTCACGGCCCCATAGGCCTCCCAAAACCACTGGATATCGGACACCCTCCGTGTGTCACTCACCAGCTGCAGGGGAGGGACACAGACAGGTGACCAACAGGACAGGGTGCTGGAGGTGAGGGAAAGCGGGGACTAAAGAACCCAGAGCAGCGGTGGGGCTCCACCCGCCATGACCACGAGCAAGTCAGCGGCATACACGGGAGCAGCTGGCCTCCTCGTTCCCGGATCCGTCCACTCACCGCACATGCTGCTGAGTGCTGATCACGTGCCACACGGTGCTGCCAACGTGTTCACTCACCCATTACTAAGCAAGTACGGTAGCAAGCACCCACTGCGTGCCAGAGCACCGTGCTAGGTGCTGAGGCTAGAGCAGTGAACAAAACAGACCTCGTGCCTGCCCTCTCGGAGCTTACAGTCCAGTGGAGACACAGGCGCTGAACAAGCAGCTTCCCAAACAACCGAGTGATCACAGTGTGTATCAACAACATCTCAACTTCGAAGCGGCTAAAACGCAACTCCGGATTTTCTCTCCAATCCTGTTCCTCCCCCTACTTCCCTGTCTCAGAAAATGGCAATTCTATTTGTCCAGCTGCTCAGAACAAAATCCCTGGTAGGGGCCGGGCGCGGTGGCTCACGCCTGTAATCCTAGCACTCTGGGAGGCCGAGGCGGGCGGATTGTTTGAGCTCAGGAGTTCGAAACCAGCCTGAGCAAGAGCAAGACCCCGTCTCTACTAAAATTAGAAAGAAATTAATTGGACAACTAAAAATATATAGAAAAAATTAGCCGGGCATGGTGGCACATGCCTGTAGTCCCAGCTACTCCAGAGGCTGAGGCAGGAGGATCGCTTGAGCCCAGGAGTTTGAGGTTGCTGTGAGCTAGGATGACGCCATGGCACTCTAGCCGGGGCAACACAGTGAGACTCTGTCTCAAAAAAAAAAAAAAAAGATATCGGTTATCAGGGAAGGCTTCCCTGTGGAGGTGTCATGTAAACTGAGCTGGAGCTAACTAGGGAAAGAAAGGGCAGTCCAGTGCAAAGGCCCTGATTCTGGAAGGACCTTGATTATTTGAGGGACCAGCGAGAAGGCCAGTGTAGTTGCAGCTCAAGGAGAAAGGAGGCTAAAAGGGTAGCAGGAGCTGGATCATACAAAGCCCAGAAGTTCACATTAAGGATGGTGATTTTGTTCATGAGAAAAATGGGAAGCCACCAAAGTGTTCTAAACAGAAGAGTGACATGACTTAGTTTATGTTAAGGTCACTCCAGCTGCTGTGTAATGAATGGATCACAGAAGGCAAGAGCCAAAGCTGGAGACCAGGGCGGAGGCTACTGCCATTGCCCAGGCGAGAGATGGTGGGGGCTTGGACCAGGCAGGGCGGTGGCAGGGGAGACAGAGATGAACACAGTGGAGAGCGGAGAAACAGGTGTTCTTCATGCTGCCATGGCGCCCCCTTACCCAGATGGGCTGGGAGACGCCCTCCACAATCTTCCTGCAGAAGAAGCCTGGGTCGGCCTGGCGTTTCTCCTCCCCCCAGCGGATCATGTCCCTCCGATAGGCCTCCTTGTAGGTGCTGGCGTCCAGGAGTTTCTGGAAGTTCAAGCCGTGTTCCTGCCCAAAGCACATCACGTGTGTGTCACCGGCCTCTCAACCTCAGTGCTTTCTCCTAAAACAGTGGAACAGCCATCCCTGCCCTCACCTGCCTCGCCCAGAGCAGATCAAGATTTTGGCCAGGACACAGGTCTGCCAGGGAAAGGGGCCTAGCAACTAGGAAAGTCCCAGCACTGGCAGATGGAAGAAAGGTCTTGGGATAATCCAGAAATTGTTTCAATTTGTCTTTGAAATGTGTGATCTGGTTTTCTCTTTTGCAATTTTACCTTCCCAATTATTTCTGGCTTAAACTAATCCTGAAATTAGTTTGCATCCCCTGGGCACAGGCTTAGCCTTCAACTAAAGTGGGAAATCTGAAGAAAAAAAAAAAAAAACTGCATTCCTTGTCCTCCCACTATCCCTTCTGGCATTATTTGCCCGCACCCCAAATCCCAAGAAGAGTATACATCTCCCTCGTCTCCCCTTCACACGTTTCCCATGCCCAAATTCCTGGCATCTTTGCTGAAACAGCATCACTCCATTTGGCTCTGGGCACCCCCAAGCCTCCCACATCCAGAGGACCCCTCAGGCAGGAGGAGCTGCTCTGACCACTCTGGAGAGCTGCTTCCAGACCTGGCCTCCCCTTCTCCAGGGACACTGACAAGCAGAGGGGTCCATCCAGAGAGCCTCAGGCGGGAACAGGTCTGAAAAATATAACCCAGTCCAAGTTCTGGCTCCCCCACTAGCTCACTGCAGCAAGACATCCTCCCTTCGGGCTCCCACTTTAATTGCCCACCTGCCCTCTCTGTTCCGAGGTGAGGTCAGCAGCCACCTCCCGCTTGTGAAGTGGTTTCCCTCCAAGAGCACTGGGATCTGCTTGTCAGTTACATTTCCCATCGTGACGTAAGAAATCAATGCATTAACATTTCATTTCGGTTTTGTTTTTTAATGGGAGTGGGGGATGCAGTGGTGCTGGACTTCCAAACAGCAAGGGCAGTCTGGCCCATCACAGTGCCTCGGAGGTTTTAAAAATATTTAGTACTAACTCCTGCCCCTTCTCCCTTCCCCAGCCCCGTCTGGCTCAGTAGGTTTGGAGTAGGGCCTAAGTCGGGAACTTTGGAAGTAGATCACTGGTTTGGAAACTGCTTCTTGGAGGCCTTCAGAAGCGTGCAGGCCCCACTGGGGAAGGTGGAGTGCCTCCTTCTTGCCCTCTTCCCTCCTCCCCCCACGATCAGAGTCTCTCCCGGTCTGTCTCCTGGATACAAGGAACTCCTGCATCCAATGCCACGTGGGAAAGGATCTCGCTAAAAAAAGTTGAAAACCACTGAACCTCATTGTCTCCACGATCCCTCAGGCTGCCACCCTGTGAATGGGTCTGTTGGCTGGTGAGAGAAGACCCAGTGCTTCCCACGGAGGCAGGGCTGCCATACAGAAGGGGGGACAAATTCATTTTATGTGGCTCCAGAGGCCTCTTGGGTGCACCTAGAGGCCAAGGGCAGAAATGTGGGCAAGCAGGGGGCTGTCACTCTGTGGGAAGCTGACCTTGCCTTCCAGGTTCCCTTTCTGAAGTCTGAGATTCTGAGAGTTCCTATGTGCTCATTTTTTCAACTCCTACCTTAACAATCCTTTTTTTTTTTTAAATCTCATGGTTCAAAATTCAAAAGATACACATTCATTTATAGTGAAAAATCTCTCTCTCACCCCTGTCCCCTCCCTGAAGGCAAGCAGTGGCACCATCGCTCACGTAACCTTCCAGGGCAGCGCAGACACACAGCCAAGCACCTGTGACATTGCTTAACGCAAGGCAGGCACCCCAGAAATATCTGCTGAATGGCTGAAGATATCCGCAAATATATTTATAATTCTTGGTCACAAAGTCCTTCTGGATTTCCTCTTCAGTTTTAGACAAATGTAGCATTGTTCTACATGTTGGGTTTGTTTCACTTAATAAATTACCTTGACAACTCACGTGACTAAATTTCTAAGGGGATAATTCTAGGGTGGTGTGAGGCCAGCAGAGGGTGGAGTGGGGGGTGATGTGAGGTATTTTATGTTTTGAATAAGGGGACATCCCTGCTAATCACAAGGCATCAGCCTTTCCCGATACACCTTCTCGAACATGCTCCGGGGAAGTGGCCTGAAATAAATGAGGCTATTAGGAAAGAAGCTTAGGCTGAAAATGCTCCCCCCACACATACACACACAAAGGGTCCACTCAGAGAGAACCAAGAGCTGGCCACCACCCTGCTTGCAGAGGTCATGAGGACCATGCCAGTGACCGAAGCAGCAGCCACAGCTCCAAAGCCCAGGAGCTGACTCCTCCCAACGCACCGGGTGCCACAGAGCCACCGCCTACCTGAGCATACTGCTCCTTGAGTGGACCGGAGAGCCGGAGGACAGCACAGACATCAGCTCCAAGTCTGTGGGACAGGGAGATCAGAATCCAATTAAGCTAGAGCTTCCAGGAGTTTCCAGCTACCGGAAGAGGCGTCCAGATGCCTGGGTTGAAGTCCCATTTCTGCTAGTGGTATTATGTAACCTTGGGAGGTCTCAACGACCCTGACGCTATTTCCTCATCGGAAAACAGGGATAACACTGTTCTGTCTCCCACGCAAGGTTATTATGAAACTCATATGACTATAAAAGAGCCTTGAAACTAACAGGTAAAACCTATAAAATGGTAATTACAGTAGGAACATCCGAGCCTGGCAATATTCTGGCTAGATTAGGTTGCTGCTGGTACCCTCAACTAATTCTGTCACAGCCAAGGGTATCTCAGTCTCCACTGACTTGGTCACCATGACATACTATAAACAATTCATTCATTCAGTTGTTCAATCTATTTAACCAACCATTTATTGGGTACTATATTTGGATCCAGGTGATACAAATGTGAATAAGACACATGATTCCTGCCCTGGCCTTGAGATGCTCCCAGACACATTTAATGACATAGTGAGATAAGAGTTCTTGTTTTCATGTTTCAGATGAGGAAACTCAAGTCGAGCAGGGAGGGCTGATGTGCCCAAAGCAACACTGAAAGTAATGGAGCCAGTACTGGTACAACAAAAATAGCCAACACTTAGTTCCCACGCCTTTACCAGGTGCCAAGAATTGTTCTAAGCCCTTCACATGCATTTAATCCTTACAACCACCTTATTATCATCATCCCCATTTTACAGATGACAAAACTGAGGCACAGAGTGGATAAGAAACACACTAATAAATGGTGAACCAGGATTGGAATCCCAACAGTCTAATTCTAGGGCCTGTGACCAACTATTTGACTTCTGTGTTTGGGGGTAAGGAGAGGTGGCAGTTTAGGAAAAAGTAGTGAGATACTTGGTGGTGAAAGACTCAGGAGGCGACCTCTGCCCTGGGCTCCTCCACAATCTTTTAGAACCCCTATGGTACTCAAAATCAGCTTCCTAGTACCCCCACCACACTGGCCTTCTGGAGGCCACTCCACTTCCTGCCCCTCCTCTGCTCCCCCAGCCCGTGTCCCAGCAGAAATGCTCCCACACGGACTATCTCGCTGTGTAGCACTGTCACGGCTACGTGGGGGCCAGTGAGGTAAAGCAAAGATAAACCAGTCCTTGACGCCAAAGCTGAATTTGAATCCCGGATTTGCCACTTACTTTGTGTCCCTGGCAAGATTTTTGTTTGTTTGTTTAACTTTTCAGAGGTCTTTTCAGTTTCTTCATCTGTGAAATGCACATACTGATACCACAGAGTACCTACCAAAGAGGTCATGAGGATTAAATGACATGTACACACAGTGCCTGGCACAAAATAAAGACAAACCCCAACTATTAGGGGGTGGGCAGGGCAAGGAGCCTGTCTTTGGAATCCGTTGTGAGAGTTAGGAATGGTGTATGCAAAGTGCGTGGGTAGGAACTGTTATTAATGCTTCTTGAAGAGAGAGACCTACAGCTTAGGGTCTTTAGAGGGGTGGCCGCCTGGTTCTTCCAAGTGGGTGTGTGTAGATTGCTGTTTTAGATGATGCTGACAATCTTCCAGCTTCCCCGGCTCAGTGCTCGTCCTGCCCTGCAGTCGGGGAACCCCTACTCCAAAGCGCTCTCCATCACACTCGAAAGCACCCCTGCGTCCCGTCCCGCGGAGAGCTCCCCTTCCTCCTGCCCCGCCCCACGGACACCTGCTCTGCAGCGCCTCGGTCACGAAGTCCTTCCCGGATTTCCTCTTCCCGCTGAACAGCAGCACCAGCCGCGGGGCGCCTCCCAGCGGGGCCATGCGGCCGGCCAAGCTTTTCGATCCCTAAAGCTGACACTATCCCAACCCTTAAAATCGCACCACCCCGCGCGAAGTGGACGCGGCCACTACGTGGAGCGGCAACAAGCGATGTCGCCCCCTCTGCCGCATCGCCGCAGAGAGGACTGACAGCCCGCGTGTGCACATTTTAACTCGCGTCTCAAGAAATACGGACAGCGAAAGGGAGAGAACTATGAACAGAAAGGACATTTATTCCCGGCGGCCTCCCCGAAAGCAGCTCCCCTACCAGGACGCACTTAGGACGGCCCAACCCCGCCCAGACCGTGGCGTCACGGCCCCGCCTTCTCGACTGACTCCCGGGGAAGAATTGGACGCAACCACTTCCTGCGTCTAAGAGGGATGACGCCTTAAAACTTCCTGAGGTGAACCTCACCGTCCCGTCCACACAACCCTACAACAGTACGGAAAAATAATGTGTACGTGATGATGTTGAATACGTTTCCAAAACTGCCTTTTTATTTGTGCATTATAATGCGTGTGCTAAAGCAAATCTGTATTTTCCCCACAATGAAAATGGGTCTTTCTGGAGATGGAACGAGGCGATGACACAAACGGGCGTGTCTGGTGGCGTCATACTGGGGGAGGAGCTTAGTCGAACACACCACACGCTCTTTTATTGTTAAACAGGTTTTACAGCTGGAGAAGCCACTACTGTTTGACCCTTTGAACAAACGCAGCGAGAAACCTTTCATCCCTTTTCTAGCCGCAGTCCCCTCCCCAAAGGTTTTCGGAAGTTAGAGAGCTTGGAATGGCTGGGTGACATCAATACTATAGGTTAGAAGGGGGCTTTGAAGCCACCCTGATGCGATTGCCTAGTACAGCTCCCAGCCGGGAGTTCTAGAGGCAGAACAAATGGTGGTGATCTGTCCCTTCCCTGAATTCCCAGTTCTGCCTCTGCCCACAACAGCTGACACCCAGTCCCAGTTGAGTAAGAGAAGTTGTTTTTAGCTGTGACTTGCTGTCCTGCATTTTTCTGAGCTTGTCCAAACAGAGCCTGCAACCCATTACTGCCCCCATTCTACAGGCTATAAAGTCATGTAAAGAGAAAAAGTGTAGTGGGGAGACTTACTTTGGGAGAAACCATTAACTTCCTGAACAATGAAATCAGGCACAGAAGAATGGTCGGGTGCAAAAAAAAAAAACCAGACTTTAGGAGGGTGTCTTTTTAAAAAAGCAACTCACCATAGAGTGGAAAGAGTTTCAATTCCAGCTTTGACGCTTAGCAAGAATGCGAGCTTTAGCAAGTTACTCTGAGTTCACCATTCATAATGCCACCTCGCAGGGTCACAATAAGAAGGAAGTGAGGATAATATATGACAAAGTGTAATAAAAATACTTTCTAAGTTCTAAAGAATCATCCAAATGTAGGGGGTTGTTATTTATTCTTAGCACGTGGAGATTTTACGGTTCGTAATTCAACACAGGACCAGATTTCCCAGCTCATCTTCAATAAACATTTGTAAGCCTACGTCAACTGGGAGTGGAGAAGGAACAAAGGAATCCGTAATGGGTTGTGATCAATTGGTTGTAAACACCACTGCACTCGGACCAGTCCAATAAATATTTATTAATATTTAGGACTCCACTGAAAGCACAAATCTCCAGCTTACTCGAGTCACCACAAAGGGGTCAGAACTTTCAGAGTCTCTTTGCTCCCCTGACCCAATCCACCCCCATCCCTCCCTCCCCCACTCTGAAATCCAGCTCCCTGGATTCCTAGTCAGTGATCAGAAAATGTCCCCCACATCCTAGCCTCTTCTCAGAGTTGCCCTCCTGTTTCCTGCCTCAACTGAACCTCACTGTCCCTACTGTCCTCTACAGTGGAAGTTTTTCATTCTCTCCCAGCCCTCATACTCCTGGAATCCTAGCACTCTGGGAGGCCAAGGAGGGAGGACCACTTGAGCTCAGGAGTTCGAGACCAGCCTGAGCAAGAATGAGACCCCGTCTCTACTAAAAATAGTAAAAATTAGCCAGGCGTGGTGGCTTGCACCTGTAGTCCCAGCTACTTGGGAGGCTGAGGCAGGAGGATCGCTTGAGCCTAGGAGTCTGAGGTTGCTGTGAGCTAGGCTAATGCCATGGCACTCTAGCACAGGCAACAGAGTGACACTCTGTCTGAAAAAAAAAAAAAAAAAAACATACCTCAGTATGGACTTTGAGTCTGTGGCCTCCCTCCCTCCTCATTTCTGTTTCCAGACCATTACTCCCCCTGCCTCTTGGAAAACTCTGGTTCTTCTAAGGTTCATGCCACTGGCCTGGGCTACCCTTTCCCCTCCTAAGTATTGACAATCACCAATCCTGGTGGTTCGTTCTCATTTTCTAAGACTTGGCCACTGGCTCCCGGTCTCCTTTTCCACCTAGTTCCTGTTATTATTCTCAGTGACCTCACTACCCTCGTGGCCAGCCCATTCAACACCCTGCTGGTCAAGCCGTTGACCTCCACTATTCAAATCCTTTTTCCTCTCTTCCTCCTCCGATGCTGGCTCCTGTGGACACACTCTGGGCCTTGTCATCACAGAAGCCATGAAGCCTGCAAATTCACACACTCACCCACTCAGCCCCTCAAGGTCACTTGCTCAAACACTCCCCAAAGCAGTGCTTCCCTCCCAAGTCCACCACCAGCCCATGAAACTCTTTACACTTACAACATCTGCTCTGCCTTCCTTCCACGTCAAACAAGTTAATGTGCAGAAAGTCTGGAAGCCGTAGAGTGCTGCACGACGTGAGGCACTGTTTGAAGGCTGGATGCTGGTGAGGGTGAGGCAGGAAGGAGGGGAGGAGCAGGCCTGTCTGATAGGAGCAGAGACAACTGGGAAAGAGAGTGGCCAGAGTCCTTGGGGACTCAACTTGGAAGCCAAGGATGTCAGATGCCACTGCCTCATGGGGGTTCAGGAAGATGATGCTGGAAGAAGCCGGTGCTGGCATGGGATAACAGAGAGGTGCCCCCCAGAACTCAGGACCACAATTACCCTGAGAGTCATTGTTCACTAAAGGGGCCGACCATTTAAAGAGGTCACCTCACTGGCTGAGAGGACAGCTTGGAAGTCAAATCTAGGCCTATTTGAAGGAAGCCTGCTCACTGTATTAACACACCAGGGACAGCTGGAACCTGCAGGGGACCAGCTCATCCAACTCTGCAGAGCTAGAGGAGGGATAGCCAGGCTTTGTCAGTACCCTCCAAACCCCGCCCAGGTCAGCCCCCCAAAGCAGGCCTGTCCCATAGTGGAACAGATGCCATCTGTCCTGGCTGAGGAAAGCTACCAATTGCCCTTCCTTCAACTCTATGTTTCTGAGCCCGGTCATTGCCCCGCTGACCCAGGCGTTCTCCTCTGCCAGCGCCCGTGACTATGAATGTGGTTTGTGAATCAGTACTCACGTGCTTGCTGACCGTTGCTCCAGGGCGACAGAGCCTGGCACGTGAGGGATGGAATGGGGTGGGAGTTGTAAGAAAGAAATACGGCAGGGAAAGAGAAGGGGAGACAGAGTCTTTGGGGACCCGATTAGAGAGAAGTCAACTCATTTATTTATTCACTCATTCATTCAACATGTATTTACATATATAAAATGTGTCAGGTATCGCTAGGGACACTACAGTGAACAAAACAGAACTTGCTCTCAAAGAGCATTTATTCTCACGTACGTAGAATGTACAGGCAAGTACAAGACAGCTTAAAAATGGAGCATGAGATACTTTATCCCAAAATCGGAGAGAGAAGGTTGATATAAATTAATACTTGCAGGATGCTCTGATATAAGATGTAAATGGCTAACCATGCATCCTCACGTAATTCCCTTTGCCTAAAATTGTGTGCAACAAACTCCTACTGGTATTTCAACATCTAGCTTGTCTTGCCTCCTCCAGGAAGGCTTCCCTGACTCCCCCTCCCCGCAGTCTGAATTAAATATCCATTTTCTTTTCCTTTTTCTTTTTTTTTGAGACAGAGTCTCATTCTGTCGCCCTGTGTAGGGTGCAGTGACGTCATGATAGCTCACAGCAACCTCAAACAACTGGGCTCAAGTGATTCTCCTGCCTCAGCCTCTCAAGTAGCTGGGACTAGAGGCGCCCACCATGATACCTGGCTAATTTTTCCGTTTTTCAGTAGAGATAGGATCTCGCTCTTACTCAGGCTGGTCTCGAACTCCTGAGCTCAAGCGATCCTCTCTCCTTGGCCTTCCAGAGTGCTAGGATTACAGGTGTGAGCCACCCCACCTGGCTACAAATATCCATTATCTATGCTCCTGATATACCCTGTATTTACCCACATCATAGTCTCTTCTTCTATACTATAATTATCAATTGTCTTGTATGTCCCTTACCCCAGATAGCTAACAGTTCACATTTATTGAGCATTTACTATGTGCCAGACCTTTTCTCACTTAAAAAAGATAAATGAGGGCCAAGCGCCGTTGGCTCATGCCTGTAATCCTAGCACTCTGGGAGGCCGAGGCGGGCGGATCGTTTGAGCTCAGGAGTTCGAGACCAGCCTGAGCAAGAGCGAGACCCCGTCTCTACTAAAAATAGAAAGAAATTAATCAGACAACTAAAAATATGTAGAAAAAAGTAGGCGGGCATGGTGGCGCATGCCTGTAGTCCCAGCTACTCGGGAGGCTGAGGCAGGAGGATCGCTGAGCCCAGGAGTGTGAGGTTGCTGTGAGCTAGGCTGACGCCACGGCACTCACTCTAGCCCGGGCAAAAGAGTGAGACTCTGTCTCAAAAAGAAAAAAAAAAAAAAAGATAATTTAGGAGCTCTAAGGGGTGGAGCCAGGTCTGTCTGGCTCCAAAGCCAGATGCTGTCCAGACCAGGGCAGCCTCCCGAACACGCAGGCCTGGCCTCCATGGGCAGTGGGAACTCTCTCCTTGTGTTTCTCCCCACAACACCGCACGTAACACTTCACATGGCTGCATCTGCACGTCAGGCCCATGCCACCTCCCTCCTGGTTGTTTGTTACCTAATTCCTTCTAACTACCCCCACTGTCACATCTCTCCACTCCATCCTTCCGGCTGCCAGCTACACCGCACCCGTGTGTATCTTCATACATGTGGCCCATGCCCCTCAGATGCCTTCAGTGGCACCAGCCCAGACCCAGACACGGGTTAAGTGGCCCATAAGTAACAGAGGCATAAATGAGTGAGCAGATGAATGGGGGGCTCTTTCAGGGAGAGTTGGGCGGCCATGACTTCACCCTTGAGGCTGGAAGGGCCTTTGTGAGTGTCCTCAAGGTTAAGGCCTCACGACCCCATACTCAGTGCCTCAGATTGCTGAGGCTCCTCCTCAAGGCCCCCCTCCCTCCGTCCCTCTCTGGGTCCCTGTCCTCTGCAGGTCCAGGCTCCTGGCCCTCCTGCTGCTGCCCCCGTGTGGCCACCGCCAGGCATCTCTGCAGAGGGAGTCACAAGTGAAGTCACCACTCAGGGACCGCAGGAGGAAGAACCTTATAGGAAGCAACCTCAGCTCAGAGCCTAGATTCCAAGTTCAAAGAGCCAGGGAGGGGAAGGCAAGGGAAGGAAGGAAGGAGCAACAGGGGGACTCTTAGCCAGGGGTCAGCAGCCCTGGGCTGTCGTCTCTACTCTGTCCCTAGCAAGCTTTGTGAGCTTGGACAAGTCAGTTCCCTCTCTGGGCCTCAGTTTCCACCTCTGAACAACAAGAGGTGGGACGGATGCTCCTGAAGGGCCCTTCCAGACTGGCCTTCTCCTACCCATAAGCTGGGGTCGATGAGGAGGCAGCTGGGGACCAGATCAAATGCCTCCACGACCAGGGCCCAGGTAGCCGAAGGGGGTGGGCGGGAACAGAGGCAGGAGGCCCAGGCAGGAGGAGGCGGCTAAAGAGAACACAGTGGGCGCTCAGATGATGCTACCAACCGGAGTTAGCTGGGGGTGGAGCAGGACGGGAGGGGGCCGCAGTAACTGGCATTTCAAATGCCCACTGGTGTCCTAGGAGCTGCCTAGGGCCAGTCTTCTTCCCTGTCACTATCTAGCAATAATGAGACCTTAGGCAAGTCGCCTAATCTCTCTATCTCAGTTTCTTTATCTGTTAAATAGAGATATTAATGGTCTTGCCTTCTTCAAAGTCTACTCAGTGAGGTAAAAGGTAGAGAAGTGCTTTGCAAAATCAATGGCCCTCTGGAGATGGAGGGGTGGCCTGTTTCTTTGCACTCTTTCTGCACTAGTCCCTCCCTATAAAGTGGCTTCAGGGAGGACCAATGGCCACATTCCAGATGAGCAAGCATTGATGGCCAGCATGTTTGACCCACAGGCAACCGACCTTCCAAATGGGGCCATCTAGCACTTTCCTCTTGCCCCAGCCAGAGGACCCGTCCTGTCCCTGTGACTTTGATCGGGCTCTCAGTGATGCCCTCAGTGGATGAGTCACTCCCCTGTGGGAGTGTCCCCTGCTGGTAAGAACTTGCAAAGGGGCCCCGCCCTGGAGAGGAAGTGAAGGTGGGTGGGGGAGCGGGCAAGAACCGGGGAGGCACGGACATGCAACTTGGTGGAGCAGACAGTGACCTGTTGGCTGCTGGCCCTACCCCTGGGCCCATATTGCACAAAATCTAACCCCTGCCCCTCCACCACCCACCCTCTGCAAAGCCAGCTTTGGCCTTTCTCCTCTCTCCCAGCTTCGCCTTGGGGCGCAGTCACCTCCCTGTCTGGAAAGTGTCCTCCACGTCACTCTCCCCGGCCTCCTCCCATCCAACCCAGTCTGTTCTAATGGATGGTTGTTGCCTAATTCCTTCTAGCTATCTCCACCTTCACATCTCTCCACTCCATCCGCAGGCTGCCAGCTACACCGCACCCATGCGTGTCTTCATACGGGTGGCCCGGGTGGCCCGGGCCCCTCCAATGCCTTCAGCCGCACCGCTCCCCATTCCCTACGGTAAAGCTCCCCTCAGACCCGCGGCGAGCACTGGGGGAGATCCCTCCCTCGGGAACCAGGTGGCCACAGTGCTCCACCCTCCCTTCAGGCTTCACCTTTGCTCAGCCTGAAATCCCCTCCCCCACCGCTGAAGTCCTGTCGCCCTTCAAGATCCAACTCAAAGAACACACCCTCCTTCCTCTTCACCCAGTTGGTAAACTGCTCCTGGCACCATTAAGAGAGCACCATTAAAATTGTGTTGTGTTTAACTAATCCAGTTAGCCTCAGGGGCAAGGATGGGGCCCCACGGCACCGAGCACAGTGTGGGACTTGAGCGCTAGTTGGCATCTTTTCCCCGCCCGTTCTGGCTACTTGGTTTGAGAACCAACACCTTCTCTTCCTCTGATATCAGTAGCTCCCAGAGGCTCCCAGTTTCCCCCTTAGAGGTTAAGTAAAATAAAAATAACTATTTTATCAGTTCTCTATAGCTGGAAAAGCCTTTTCGTTTATCTTACAATGACTCATGTCATCCTCACCACAACCTCTGAGGGGGCATCTGTGGTCTCCATTGTCACGATATGAAAGCTGAGCCCTAAGCAAGGAGGGGCCTCCAAACCCAGGCCCACAGCGGGGCAGTGGGGGGCTTACACTGTGGGCTTTCTGACCTCAAATCTTGCTCCGGCCAAAGCTCTGGTTAGAAAAAACTCGGGCTGGGCCCTCACCTGGCCCAGGACAAAGAAGAACAGGTGAGCGGGCAAGGGGCCTGCTTTTGTCCTACCCACCCCATCGGAGTGGGCAGGCACCCATTCTGAGAGCCAAAGACTACCAAAGAGATGGGTGACAGCCTTAAGGGAGGCCTGTGAGGGGAGGGACAGGGACCTCAGACAGGAGGGTGGCCCGGGTCTGAAGTGATTGACAAGGGGCTTTGGCTCAGGCAGCTGAGTGGTGAAGCAGGGAGGGGAGGGACCCGTTGTTGTCTGGGTTTAGGGCCATAGCCCCCCACCCCCACCCTGCAGTGTCCCTACCAGACCCCTGCTGTGAGCATGTGAAGGGGCCAGGAACATCTGTGGCCCAGAACAAGGCCAGATGAGGAGACATTCCTGCATCAGGGTAGCCCTGGGAGGTTCCCATGGCAACAGCCAGCCAGTCCAGTGTCTGTCCTCATGGCCGGCAGCGGAGGCTGGGAGCAGCTCTCAAAAGAGCACGTGCCTCTGACCCTCTAGGAGCTAATGGGGGTGGCCGAGCCTGAAAGAGACCCACCCTCTACCCCACCTGTCACCCCAGGAAGAGTGTGAGTAGAAGGCAGATCCCCAAGTAGAAGGAGATCCCCAAGCAGGCACAGGGCGAGAGGGGGCGTTGCTGGTAGAAGGCTGGACTGAGGGCACTGGGGAGAGGGCACTGAGGAGCCTGGCAAGGGGGTGAGGGCTGAAGGACAAGAAGCAAGGGTGGGAGGGAGGAATGGCAGATTAGGGACCACTGGGAAGCGAGTTTTGGGGCCTGGACAAAGAAAATAGAATTTTTCCATTTGAAAGTAGAAGGCTCAAGAAGGCCACCCCCAATTCCAACAATTCCCCCAAGGACCCCAAAGCTGAGCTCTTAGGGCAGCAGGCCCTTCCCGGGAGAGCTGGGGGAGCGCCCACAGGGCTAGGCGGAAAGCCAAGTGCTAAAAATGTCAAGTGCTTAAAATGGAAGAGCCCAGCCCGGACCCTGGGAGGCCAGACGGGGACATGTGGCAGAGTCCAGTGGGTCTACCCTCAAGCTCGCCCCACCCTGCCTGGGCCAGGAACTGTCCCCAAGCCCTGTGGGAAGGAGGGAGTGTTGTCCCCTGGCACCAGCCTCCCTTCACTCCTCATCTCCAAAAACTGGCCCCATGCAGCATCCTGCGATCTGGGACCTGGGGTCCTCCCTCTTCATCAGCATTGCCATGAGTGCATAGGTGTGTTAGAGAGGGGACCTCATGATCTTAGTGTGAGGGTCACCTCCCAAGGGCACTTCACAGAGAGGATGATCAGCATGGCCAATGTCACCAGCATCCCGCCCCACCCCCCGCAACATGCCCCTTGGGTTAATGGCTCTCTTTCCCCCCTATTCAGCAGTTTCAGAAACCTCCAGCTCAGCATGTCTACTTCCTGAGTGGGGAAGGAAGAGGAGGGGGACTGAGGGAACCTCCCAGCCTCCCTGAGCGTTTTTTATGCAAACGAAGGAAATGGGCCCTAGAAATGAAACTGAGAGGCCCCAAGAGGCCACAGTGAGTCCACACCCTCTGGGAACCCAGGTAGGCCAGTCTGCGTCCCCTCTCCTTTGCACCCCTCACCTAGGGCCAGCCCCCTGCCTACCTGTCTTCTAGCCTGAATCTCTCTCTCTCTCTCTCTCTCAGCAGCCCAAGTTTACCAGTCAGCTGTTCAGGCCGCAATAACTCTGCGCACCTGCAGGTGAGCACTGTGACTAGGGTAAAAGCAGCCTTCCTCATGAGGAACAGTAGTCCACAGCACATGAATACCAAATCCAAGCCCTGGCCCTGGGCCAACCTGTACTTGCTCCTCCCAACCCCCACTCCGGAAATAAGACTCCTTCCTAAAGATCCCCGGCTCATAGCACTAACCTTCTGCCCGAGAGGAAGTTCTTCCTTAGGTCTAACTGTGGTCCCTCCTGCTGCAGAAAGCAGGCTCCACTGGACTGTAGGCTTCTTAAGACACCTCTGTATTCAACGGTACCTAATTGTTTCTGGTACATAATAGACTTTATAAATGTTTAATGATGAGTGGTCCTTATACCATCCCTAGCCCACTCTGTCCCCACCACATCCCACACCTGAATTAAATGAGCTAATACACTTAAGCCCTTAAACACCAGTGTTACATAAGCACTTGCTAAATAATGCAGAAACCAATTACACCCCGCTTCTAGAGCCTATAGTCCCTCCCCTCTTTAACTGACAACACTCCTCTGACCTGGCTTGAGCAGTCACACCACATTGTTCTGCCCCCTGCACTCACTGGCGTGTTTCCAGGGTAGTCAAGAAGCCTGGTGTGCTGCCAAAGGGACTGAGGTTAGATCTCAGGAAGGACCTCCTAAAGAAGTCCAGCCAGAGAGTCTGGATCTTCCTGGGAGAGCTAGGGAGTGGAGCAATTGGGGTGGGGTCTGAGATTTGGGGGCAGTGTGTAGTGGGGGAGGTGAGGTCTGGAGCAAATGTGGAGCCAGGGTGCCACCTAGTGGCTCCCTCACCCCCCCCAAGCCCAGAAGCCCAGCTGGGGTGTGGGTGCTCTTCCCTCCACCACTCCCTGCCCTAAAGAAGGCAATAACTTCTGACGGCCAAAAACAGGAGAGTCGTTTTTCTTACATTGCTTTATTTAATCTCTTCCCCAGCCCTTCAATCCCCTTTTGTGAGGATCGGAAGCCCAAGGTTCCCAGAGATTAATTTGCCCAAGATCACTGAGCCTGGATTTGAGCCCAAGGCTCAGACGCCAAAACCCACACTCGTTTTTCTACATCTCCCAGGGTGCAGCCAAGGCAGCTGTGAGCAAAATGGGGAGGTTCCAGCCCCGAGGGCCTAGGGTTTGCTGGGAAGGTGAGGCAAGGGGAAGGGAGCAAGTACCAGTACCTGTGACAGAGACACCCCATGTCACAGCTGCAATAGCACTTTACTGGGATCTGAGTCTACAGGTCACACAGGGAGGTGGGGCCACGTGAGAAGCTCAGGTAAAAGGGGGATTTCACCCCCCGGGGACAGCTGTTTCCAAACCTAACAAAACCCCAGGGAAAGTCCCTGTGCTGGGCTCCAGCCAGCAACGCTAGTCAAATCCCAGGGGCACTGGTCAGCTTGTGGAGCTGGGAGCTGGAGGGGGCCTGCTCTGGGGGTGTACACACACACACACACACACACACACACACACGAGGACAAAAGCTCTTTGGCTTCAGAATCGGAATGCCATACCCACTCCCCGCTAGAAATCAGGGTCCTCTCCCATCTCCCGCTCCACATTGACAAAACACAATCAGACCCCCAAGGGCCACGTCCCACAGCCCTGAGCATTTGCACACACTTGTACAGACAGCAAGGCAGGGCCGGCTAAGGCCTTTTCCTAGCGAAAGTGGCATCAGTGCAGGGCTGGGCGATTTCACTCTGTTCTGTGAAGGATATCCAAAGATACCAAACAAGCCAGGACAGATACCAATTTAAGGGTCTGAGCCTGGCCTCCAGGGGCAGGCCAGGGGCGTTCTCCCGAGGGGCAGGGCCTCAGCCCCGGTGGTGGTGGTGGCCGTGCTCCTCCCTGGGCCTCCGCAAGTGCTTCTCCTTCTTCCCTGACCTGTGGGGAGACATGGGTGGGGGGCAGGAAGAGGCCTTTAGGGGACAATACCATGTGATAAAAGGGGCTCTCCAAGGAGAGGGGACCCTGTTCCTACTAACAAAGCCAACTCAGGCAGCTAACACCAAGCGCATGGGGGAAAACCTGGTCTCCCAAGATGACGGCTCCAGCTGGGGAGGCAGAAAGGTGGGATCTCCCTGACACCCCGGGCCACAAAGGCATAGCAGAGCAGGACAACTCTGGAGAAAAAATGCCCCCCAGCCCAAAAGTAGACTCCTTGGGACCACTTTGGGGTGAGCACAGGCGTTTCGTGCACTCAGAGGAAGACACGAAGCATCCCTGGGTGCCTTCTCTAAGGGAAGCCAGCCGAGGACCGGAAGTAGAGATAAGCCCTCACACTAAAGACCCCCAAACTCAGGGCCCTGCTCCTTCTCATCCTCCCGGTTGCCTCTCCGCTGTCCCACCAGACCCAACTCCCCCACAGCTGCCCACCTCTTCTTCAGTGCTTTGTCTCCAAAGAAGTGGCTGAAGATGAAGTCCTCAAAGTCATCCACCTCATCATCATCACCTGTCTCTCTCACAGCCGCCTCCTCCAGGCTGTCCTCCAAGGCATCCACAAAATCCCGGAAGCGGAGGCGGTCGTGACGGAAGATGCCGTCCTCACCAAAGTAAGCAGGCGAGAGGGGCAGCTCCTTGGTCAGCTGGCCAGCCCAAGGTAGCCGTGCCAAGTACGTTCTCAGGAGAGAGGCCAGCTCCTGTTGCCGCACGGGGACTAGCTCTGTGCCGAAGAAGGTCAGGCCCTCCTGCCGGGCACACTCGTCCACGCCTGAGCAGCCCTGCGGTGCCCGGTACTTGTGCCTCAACAGCTCTGCCCAGGGTGGCAGGGGGTCACGATGGCCTTTAGCCCCTTCCCCCCACCGAGGATGCTTCTGCCTTTCTCCGGAGGAGTGGGGGCTCCCACGTTTCCTTGGGGGTTCCTTGGGGCCCTGTCGCCTGCCATCCTTCTTGCTCCCCCACTCCTCCACACTTGGCCTGGGCTCCTCCCACCTCCCTGCCAGCTCCCTGTCCTCCTCACCCCCCCAGCTCTTCTTCCTTGCCTGGCCAGATTCCTCCTTCCTACGTTTCAAGTGCTCAGCCTGCCGGCCCCTCTGCCCATCCCGCCACTGTTCCTTTCCCCTCCACTCCTTGGAATTCTGGAAATGAGACTTCTGATGCCAGGCCTCCGAGGCATTGGCAGAGACCCCAGGGTCCTGGCCCCAGTTCTCCAGGCCCTGCAGCTTCTGGGCCAATCTGTGGCCCAGCTCAGCCAGGCCAGCATGAGCTGGGTCCCGCCGGCCGGCATCCCGCAAGCCCCTCTCCAGGTCCTGCTGTACAGACCCCAGCAGCCGCCGCTGCCTCTCCAACTCTTGCCTTAACGCCTGAGCCTCAGCCTCCAGCCGCTCCTTCTGCTCTAGGAAGCCATGGTCTGGCTCCTGACCCCTGGGGCCTTCCTTGCCACCCTGCAGGCCTCTGCCCCAGTGGAGGCACACCCCATCTGTGCCCCGGATGCAGTTGGCCTCCAGCCCCTGGAGCCGGGCCCTCAGCTGCTGTAGCTCTGACTCCAGGGCCTGCTGGAAGGCTTCACCCTGCTGCAGCGCCCCCCGAAGCCGGGCATTCTCCTCCTCTAGCCCTTTGGGCTGGTGCATCAGGCTCTGAAGCTCTTCTTTTTGAGCCTGGAATATGGTTAAAGAAGGAGGAAACCACAAAGAGTCCATTTCAGGATGGGCCTGATGCCTTCTGCCCCAATTCTATTCCATTAGAATGGGCAGGTGGCCTGAGCACTTTTTATGGCCTGGAATACCCCGAGGACTTGGTTCTCATCCTCCACCCATCCTCATTCTAAACCAGCGCCAGGGATGCCCAAATTCCATCCTGGACCTCATCATCTATGTCCTTACATAAGCACACACTTCTTAGATTCACCCAAGGATAGCCAATACGTGGCTCTCATAGCCCTATTTCCATCTCCCATACCTGGAACAGACATTACTAATTGATCACAGCACTTGGCATGTTCTTCAAAGCCTTCTCCACACAGTGCTCCGGGCAGACCACACCGATCAGAGGTGACATGCCTTGTGAAGTAGGTATGCCAGCCCTGGGCTAAACCTTGGCACAAGGGATGTGAATAAAGAACTGGGAGGACGCCCCAACTATAATGGGACAGGGAGAGCATTGAGGTGTGTGCGTGAATAGGATAAACTCCTTTTTGGGGAGGATGTTAGGACAGACACCTGGCCTAGAGTATGCTAACCCAGCCCACTCCCTCCGGCATGTGCCCACCTGCAGCTGGGCCTGCAGCAGCCGGATGTCCTGGTTCTCCTTGGCCAGCTTGTCCAGCAGAAGGCCCATGTTCTGTAGGCTGGGGGCGCTGTCAGGAGGCACTGAGGCCTGCAGCTGTTCCCTTAGCCCATCCTGAAGGCAAAAGAACCAGTTACTCCATGCTGCCCCACGCCTGGGCAGCCAGCTTCTCCCTGACCAGGCCCCATGCACCTATGGTGACAGTCACGCATACCTGCTCATCCCCCACAGCATCCGACAACTCAGTATCTGACCCAGTATCTGGGAAGACTTGCAGCTCCACTTCCTCCATGGGCCCTGTGGGAAAGTGATGACCTGAAACTGGCCCCAAGGCACAGAGAGCCCACCCTCCGCCACCTACCCACCCACACACACAGTCGCCCCTCCTGCCCTGGACCCACCCTGTGGCTGAGAGGTCCCTCAAGGTAAATGGTCACCATCAACAGCTGACATGGCCAATAACTGAGAAATAGATGTGCAACCCCCAGCACCCCTACTCCTGACCCAGGGAACCCACACACATGACAGACAAGCGCAAGCCAGGGCCCCTCCCCACTCACCGGTCTCAGACTCTGAGAGGCCACCTGAGGATGGAGACAGGAGTCTGGTGAGGCCCTCAGGGGCGGGGGGTGAGGTAAGGCGAGAACATGGCAGGAGGGCAGGGCCTCAGCAGGGGAGCTACCACTCACCTGAGAAGAGGAGGAGCCCCAGGCCCAGCAGAACCAGGGCCCCGAGGAGGCACATGTTGAGGGAGATGCCCAGCTCCCCACCTGCACCTGTGCCCCCAGTCTGGTTCTCCACATCCGGGGGTGCCGCAGGTGGAGGCGGGCTGGGCTCCCGGCCCCGCCGTCTCCGCAGACCCTCCACGTCTATGTCGGTGTCATCCTCACTGCTGGAGCAGCGGCCCTCCTCCCTGATCCAAGCTAGGGGAAGGGACGGGGACAAGGCAGGGGACGACTAAAGAGACGGGACATAGGGAGAGAGGGCAAGTGGAGGAAGGCACAGGGAGGTCCCAGCCCTGACCGTGCTGAGGGGCACGTGGAGACCCTGCCCACTTCTGCCTGGGCGTCGCTGACGGCCCCTGCCCAGTCTGGAGGCAGGAGACCAGTCCCTTCAATCTACAAACAATAAGAGCCACTTTCATCCTAAAAGCATCGTCCTTCCTCCAACGTGTGCCCCCTCAAACATCTGCAGCATTACCACCCTCCTGGGTCCCTCTAAACTCTCTGGTTACTCCCCCTCAGTCCCCCCGCTGGCTCTTCCCTAGTCCTAAAGGCAGTGGTCTCCCTGGCACCACAATGGGTTCTCCACTTTTCCCACTGTCCAGTCACAACTATGTCACCCATGCCAGTGACCCTCCCCCAACAGCAGATGAATCCCTAACCTACCCCCTCCTGCTAGGCCTGCAGCAGCCAGATGTCCTGGTTCTCCTTGGCTAGATTGTCCAGCAGAAAGCTCATGTTCTGTAGGCTGGGGACACTGTCACAGTGTCACAGCTATCTCACCCACACCAGTGGCTCCTCTATAGCAGATGAATCCCTAATCTGTAACTCCTGACCTGGCCTCCCCAGAGCTCCGGGCCTGGATGTCTGACTGCCTGCCGGCTACTCCCCTCTGGGTGTCCCTCGGGGACCAAACATTCAACACATTGCCCTCAAATCGGTTCTTTTCTTGTCCTCCCCCAATTCAGGGACAGGCACCACGGCTGCCATCTAGCTAGGCAAGCCCGCCCTCTGCACCTCACACCCAGACACTCTGACAGTCCTGCTCTTAAACACCTCCACAGCCCGCTCCTCTGCACAGCCCCCACGGAACCTGCCCTGGTGCAGGTCTGCGTCACTTTTGTCTGACCACGCAACTGCCTCCTAATGGCCCCCAGGCCCTGGCCTCTCCCTCCACCCTGTCGCTTTGACGGAGACAGACTCCTACACTCCTCTGCCACAAGCCTCAGACAGAGCCTCCTTAGCATGGGATCGGTGGCCTCCACCCTTTTGCTGGTGCTGCAGCCTTGGCCTGGAATGTTCTCTTCCTCCAGCCCTGCCTACCAAAAGCCTACTCTATGCTTAAGGCTCCACTTGAATGTCACCTCTAACTTTCCCTGTCTCTCCCTTCCCTCAACTTGTCTCCTGACTAAACACCCACCTTTCTTTGGGAGTACCTTAACTACACTTCTGTACCTCTCAGTGTGTCCTGGCTCAGTCTGGTCTGCCTCTTACGTAGGCCATGAACCACCTACCTTCCCTCTTCCCAGGCCCAGGGCCAGCACAAGGAATGGCCTCCAGAAATGAGGGTTGAATTTTAGAAGCGAGAAAAGAGGAGGCCCCATGGCAGACAGGAAAGAGTCAACCAGATGTGGGCCCTGCTGCTTTGTGACCTTAGTCAAGTCACTTCACCTCTCTGAGCCTCAGTGTCCTCAGGGGTAGTGAGGAAGGAGGACATCGAGCTGCTAGGTCCCAGGGCCTGGGCCAGAGCATACGCTCAGCGGTGATGGCTGATCCCGCTCCCATATCTTCTAGAAGGAAAGTGACGGAATGAGACAAGGAGGACTCTCACCTGCTTTGGGGGTTGAGGGCAGGCTCTGCGGAGGGCTCTGGTCCTCCAGGTCTTGTGTGTCTGGTCCCAGGCCTGTCACCGCAGGAGTCTCCTGCAAGTCTCCCTGTACCGCCGTGTCTCCTGGGCCAGGGGACTCCATAGCACAGCCATCGCCTTCCAGGGTACCCTGACACAGACGCAGTGTCAGGAGCAGCTCCAAGTACTCCCCCACTTCCCTCCCTTCTCCCAGGGAAGGTCCTCACCTTGGCCTCAGTCTCCTCTGGCAGAATGGTACCAGACTGGGGGCTTCCAGTCTGGAAGAGGGTCCCTGTGGTGAGAGAAAAGGCCCAGGAAAAACCACTGCCGTCAACCGAACTTCCTATGCAGCCCTCTGGCTCCCACAGGCCCCTACCAGGTTGGAAGGAGCAGGAAAAAGCCAGGATGGAATGAGGGAAGGAGTTCATAAACTGAGATTATAGCACAAATAAGACTAAGCAGCTTCCCTTTCCCTGAGGAAACTGGGAAACCCAGAACATGGAGGATAGCGACGTCCACCCTCAGCAGGACCCCGTTACCTTCTCCATCCGAGGTCCCGGCTAATTCTTCACCATCTGCCTTGGAGGGCCTCCGAGGGGCCTGGGGGGCTCTCTCAGACTCTGGGTCCATCCTGGCCTCTGGGCCCAGGGTCTCCACAGGCAGGCTCTGGCAGGAGGAGCGCAAGCAGACGGCTGCTCCAGAAGGGCAGCAGGACGAGACCAGGAGCACGTGCTCTGCTGGGGTCCCTGGGACCGGCCACGCTGCTCAAGGACCCCAACACCTCTCTCAAAAAATATGATATACTCGGTAGCGAGCTGATCCATAAAGGGTCTCAGTTCGTCATAAAGTGTTCAGCCACTCCCCAACCTCATTCACTGCTACGAGGAACTGTCAGGCCAGGTTTCTGTCAAACCAAGAAGCACCACTGGTGCCAAACCTGGTGGCCACGCCCACCAGGAGGCAAGCCAGGGCCTAGGTCTCCCTTTGTCCAAGATCATCAGTACTTTACCCCCACAAATGAACAACCCAATTGTTGGTTGGAGGGGTGGGAGGAAGGCAAGAGAACGAAGTTGCCTGGGTGCTGAGCGGTCACAGTCATGCTCCCCAGGGTATCCCCGTGCTTGCTCTCACAACTGGCCAACCACTTACATCTTCCAGCTCTTCTGGCCTTTCCCATTGGCCCCTGACACTCCCCTGCACACCCCCCCCCCCAAGTAGCTGCTCACAGAAGCCTAATGGAGCCCTGTCACAGACAGCCTGTCCCCCATGGTGCCCTCAGCCTGGCCATCCAGCCCTGGCCACACAGCCTCGGCCTCTCCTGTCTCTGCATACTCCCCCTTGGCAGGCCCACTGCCCGCTACCCCATCCATGGCTCCCACTATCTCTTCAAGAATAATTCTTGACATTAGTACATTTATTTGCCATTTTCAAATCATTTTTTTCTCATGAACACCCCTACAAGGCAATAACCCCGTTTTACAGGGGAGGACAGAAAGGTGAAATGGTCTGCCCACATCCCCCAGCTGTCAGCAGAGGCAACCCGACAGGAGGCCAGGGCTCTGATCGAGAACATGGTGCCCGTCCCGCTCCAACCTGCCTCCCCCTCTGCCAGCGAGCCCCCGTCCAGGTGACCCCCTCCAGTGTCTTCCCTGAGGTCAACTCCTCACTTCCACCCGGGCTCCGCAAAGGATCCTCCAAGTCCACACACCTAAACCAAGTTCCTCGCCATCCCCTCTCCTGGTGGTTCTAATGTACCAAGTCACTGGGGCTTGCAGCTTTCTCTCAGAGATCCCTTCGACAAACTGTTGCCATCCCCTTCCAGCCACTCAGTCCCCCATCCCGCCAGCCCCCTTCTCCCTTCTCCCTTCTTGGTGGCTTCAGGAGCACAGGAGCCCACTGGGTTCCCGTCCCACCAACTGCTACATAGACAGCTGCAGGGGCCCTCAAAACACTCCCTCCCTGTTCCCACCGCTTCACCCTCGGCGCAAGGCAATGACTGTCCTTACACCCTCCAACTCACAGCCCTTCACTGATTTCCCATCAGGGTGAGGCCTGAATGCCTCAGCCAGGCCCTCAGGCCGCTCCCAGGGGTTCCCAGGGGTCCGATCCATGTCTCCAGCTCATCCACGGGCTCCTCACAGTCTCTCCTGACACGGCTTTCTTGTTGTCACCTCAAGACCTTTGTTCACACTGGTCTCCCCACCAGAATTCCCTCCCTACCTCTCTCGGTGTACCCACTGGTACCATTCCTTCATGGCATGGCACAGCCCAGCATCAACCCCTGACCCCTGGGGCCTGATCTCCTTCTCCCTGCTATGGGAGTTCCTCTAACAGCCAGCAGGCAGTGATACAGGTGGATTGTCAGGACCCAGGAACTGGACAGACCCAGAAAGCAGCCCAGCCCTGCAGGACTCCCCCATCCACATGGCTGCCAGGCCCATTCTTCCTACCTCTGAGCCAGCAAGCACCCAGCTATTGTCCGGATCTGGGCAGGAGGCCATAGCTGCTGAGGTCTCTGAGGCTGCTGTGGCTGCCACCTGCAGAGAAAAGCTCTCTTAAGGACTGGAGCTCCCTTCAGGAGAGACAGGATACAGAAAGCAGCCTTGGCTGGGTTCCAACGTTCAAGTGCCTTCAGAACCCAGCCTGGTTCCAGTCCTTTGCTCCCTGACACCTCAACTCTTCTGGGCAGTATTTGCCTTGCAAATCAGGATCTGCCAACAGCCACAGAGAAGCCCGCCTCTTCCAGGGACCAGCAGGGCCTTGGGAAACTCAACTGACCTTGAAAGGTCAAAGAAGTATAGGGCTGTAAAGGCCCTGGTGAATATCCAGTCCAAGCCCCTGACATTTGAGTCAGGGAAGATGAAGTCCAGAAAGGTTGACTGACTTAACTTGCCAATAAGATTTACTAATAACAAGAGCAAGGAAAGCCAGGTGTGGTAGCTCGCACCTGTAATCCTAGCACTCTGGAGGCCAAGGCGGGAGGATCGCTAGAGGTCAGGAGTTCGAGACCAGCCTGAGCAAGAGCGAGACCCCCGTCTCTAACAAAAAGAGAAAAAATTAGTCCGGGCGTGGTGGCGCGTGCCTGTAGTCCCAGCTACTCGGAAGGCTGAGGCAAGAGAATCGCTTGAGCCCAGGAGTTTGAGGTTGCTGTGAGCTAGGCTGATGCCACAGCACTCTAGCCTGGGCAACAGAGTGAGACTCTGTCACAAAAAAAAAAAAAAAAAAAAAGAAGAGCAAGGAAAACAACCATCATAATACCAGGCACCTCCACAATCACTACCTCCTCCCCCAGGGCCTAGAAGGGAAGACCTGATGGCCTCCTTCAGCCCTAAGTCTCCCACCACCACCCACCATAAGTCCTTTGCATGGTCTGGTTCAGTGGTTCTCAGCACTGACTGTACACTGAAATCAACTAAGATTCTGATTCAAGTGGGTGGGGGTTGGGTCCAGGCATGGGTCTTTTAAACCTCTCACGGCTGGATGCAGTGGCTCATGGCTGTAATATCAGCACTTTAGGAGGCGGAGATGGGAGGATCGCTTGAGGCCAGGAGTTCAAGATCAGCCTGGACAACATACTGAGACCCCATCTCTACAAAAAAATAGAAAAATTAGCTAGGCATGGTGGTACACACCTGTATTTCTAGCTACTTGAAAGGCTGAGGCCGGAGGATCCCTGAACCCAAGAGTCCAAGGCTGTAGTAAGCCATGACAGCGCCACAGTCCTCCAGCCTGGACAATAGATCCAGTGTCTCAATAAAATAAACTTTTTTTAAAAAAATAACATAAAAATAAAACCTCTCAGATGATTTTCGTGCCCAGCCACAGCAGAGAACCACTGGCATAGCTTAGTCCACCTGGATGTACCTTTAGTAAATCTCCTTGTCATTCCATCTAAATTCTGTTTCCCTTCTTAGTAATATCCAGAGTTTGATCTTAGGTAACTTGAAAGTGACTGAGAAAGGGGATTTATGGCAACTATCACTTTACAGTTTATAAATCACTTCACAGTTTGCGAAGAATAGTCAAAAATCAGGGCTATGGCCCTGCCCCCTGCTAATCTGCTTGGGAAGGGTCAAGAAATCATTCCAGCTTCCAAAGCCTGACACAAAGCAGGGTAAGAAGAGAGGGGCTCACCCCTTCATCCAAGGCCAAGACTGTGCCCTCAGGCTGAGACAGCTGTAATTGGGAGTAATAGATGAGCTGACCCCTCAGAGTCCTCGATTGTGATCCTTCAGAAGAGGATAAATGACTGACTCCTGAGGACTGGAATGGCAGTAAGTATAAGGGGACTCTATAAGGAAACTTAGGAAAAGAGATTAAGGCTGGGGAAGTATGGCAGCTCCACCTTTGAAACCAACCATACTGCCCCCTTCTGTTTGAGCCGGTTTTAAGTCCTGAGTGGTGCCCTAAAAACCTCCTATGATTCTTGCCAGTCAAAATCCAAGCCCAGGATAGGTGAAGGATACCTTACCCGTGCCTCCTTGCCCATGCTTCCCAGATACATGCACTCATCTCCCATGGAGACAGGAGAATGGCTGCAATGGCTTCCCCATACCAAGTCCAACAGGACACCCTGGCATACTTCTATAGGCATTCACAGAGCCACTGCTGTTCAGCCTTCTGCTCTTGGGCCCCTCCCCCGCTGTTCGGTCATCATCTCCCCCATACCCAGTTGCTACATGTGACTGTTAACAGGTGGTGGCAGGAAGGAAGTGGCAGCAGCTTGGGCTGAAGTCCCTGTTTATCCCTCTCTGTGTACAGCCTGCTCAGGTCCTCCAGAACCAGGCACCATGGCAACCAGGGTGATGTCAGACCCACTGTCTCCATGGAAACAAGCAACGGTATTTGGGTCAACAAGACAAACACTTCTGAGACCCAAACAGGAGAAAGTCTGGAACCCCAGCAGTCAGGGTCCCAAACCCTGATACTTCCCTCTTGCGTGAGTTTACCCAAAATTCCAAAAGATATCCCTGTTCTCCCAAGCCAGAATCTCCCTGCCTTATTAGGAAGTTCCTTCTGTTCTCTAATCCCCACCCTTCTCTGCTGTGTTCTCAAATCTTTTTCTTCTCGTCGACCTCTAGGAAGAAAACCCACTTCCACCCCCTTCCCACTATCCCCTTACTTTTCATTCAGCCAGGATTCAACAAAAACATCCTGTAAGGGTATGTCAGACACTTCTGCTATTTCTAAAAAACAGCTAAAGGGGGAGCTCTCCTACTCAGTACAAAGCTAGGAAGTCTCGCCTCTAGTTGATCTCAACACCTCTAACAGTTGTTCCCCCAAACCTCCAAAGCAAAGAACGTGGGGCCATAAGAACTTGCCTGGGAGACCCAGAGCAAGTTCCTGTTTTGGAAACATCAGCACTCGGCTCCCCCTTCCCCTAGTCCAGAAATGAAAAGCAGCTCATTCCTTCTAGAGTTCTGTCCTCCCTTTCCTTATCTCCCCTACTCACAGGGAATCCGTGGACCCCTTCCCAGCTAGGGCATTACCTGACCCGGCTCTTGCTTCGGTCTTCAGCTTCACTTGTTGCTGCCTCCCCTGGTTTCCAGCCCAAGAAAAGAGTCACGTGACCAGAGCCGGCCAATGGAAAGTCAACTTTCCCAAGGGGGCGGAAACTTTTGGCCAATAAGAGCTGGAACTGAGAGCCAGGGGAGGTGAAGGGAGGTGTACACAGCCCCCAAACCTGGGCTTACCTCCCGGTGCAAGACTGGGGGTCCCAGCAAACTGAATTTTGAGTGACTTCCCCTCCTTTCCCAGTATCTAAAGTTTCTAGAGGGAAGACCCAAAACTGAGAGAGGGGCAAAGGGTGGTGCCTTCCGAGATGACAAGGGCGCGGGGCCAGGTCGGCCCCAGGACAGACAGAGACAGCTGTGGAATGGGGGAGGGGAAAGGTTGGGGTGGCAAATTGAGGGTTTCCAAATAGCCCTCCGGCCACTCCCCTCACCCTGCTCCAGCGCACTGTTTAAGGATGCCCTTGCTACTTTAAGGAAGAAAAAAGGAGGGGGGGGTCTAAAAAACATCCAAATGAAATTTGCTAGGACAAAGCAGCCCCTTCCCTCACCCTTGGAGCTACACTTGGCCCCTAACCCAAACAACTGGGAGATGGAGGGCAGGGGTGGGTGCTGAACTCGGAAGAGTTCAAGCACTTGTCTCCCAGGGGCCTTGGAGCCAAATCTCCTGCCTGGCTCCAAGCCGGGCCCAGGAATGTGCTCAGAATGGAAACTCAGTTTCTCACAGCAGGGACACAGGGGAGGAGGGGTGGGGGAACACAGGCCTCCCTTGGCTCAGCAGCCTAAACCAGGGTCAGTCAGCTCAGAGGCCGAATCTTTCTGCCATTTCCACTTCCAGGGACCCTGGGGAGTACATATACCCTCACGCCAAGCATCCCTCCCAGCAGTTATAGTGGCTCATTCCAACCTTTTCCCACGACAGCAAGGAGTCCTTGTCTGGGTTTTTCAGTCATTTTATTAATCCAACCGTACAAAAAGCCATCTCTTCCACCACTTTCTTCCAAAAAGTTGTGGAGCAAGAGGGAATTGACTGAGCAAAGACACTCCCCCAGGAGCCATTTTACAGAATGCGTAGGAGGGAGACAACACAAAAAATAGCAACAGATAAAAGGGGCAAACAGAACCACAAACACAACACAAAGTTGAGCAGTAGGGGGTTGACATCTATGCTGTTTTAGTGTGGGCAACACTGGAAGAGAGACGCCCAGATTTTCTTACAGCCTCAAAGGCTGCTGGCTCTACCAGGGCAGTATATTCTCTCCGCAAGACAGGGAACTGAGAGAAGAGGGGCTAGGGGGCCACAGAGGGTAGGTCTTTGCCACCATTCCTCACGCTGAGGGACCACTGACTTCTCTGAAGAGGGCCACAGCTCATGCCTGGCTTCCCCACCCCACCGAGGAATGTGTACATGAGCTGCCAAGCCAGCAGCTGCCAGGGGCTCCTTTTCAGGCCCCAGGCCCATCTCTGGTAGGCAGTGCTTAAAAAATTTAAAAAATACAAATCAAGCCCAGTGCAGGGCTTTGGCTGAGAGGAATGAGAACTGCTAGATCACCAGGCCCGAGGTGACATAAAAGAATAGCAAGGAAAGAGAGAAGCAAAAAAACTCCAGGCTCTTTTATGTTTCAGTACCATGGCGATGAGGATGCCCCCGCATCCCCCTACCCACAAGACTGTGACAGGGCCTCATTTGGATCCTTTTATCAGGAGAGGAAATGAGGTATAAGGGCTCTGTGCCTTTTCAAGCTTTCCTTCAATCAAGCCAGGAAGGCAGACGAACAAGGGCACTGAAAGTTGAAAAACAGCACTGAGTATAATGTGCAACAGATGGATGAGGGGTGGGGGGAGGTGTACCAGCAAAGTCCAGACTTCCAGAACAGCCCAAACTTCAAATATTCTGGTCTATCAGACCACGATCCCAATTTTTGGCAAAAATATGGTCATTAGGAGAAAAGCACAAGAGAGGCTGAGAAAGGACCAGTGACTTTGGTATGAGGAAGGTATGTCCTTGACAGCGTCTCTTACCCACTGTCTCAAAGCCCCAAATCACCAAGAAACTGCCATTAATAGCCAGGAACTCTCCTGCTTCTTCAAGCTATTTGGTTCTCTGAGGGGGGAGGAGTTAGGTAGGTCTTGAAGGAGGCAAAGGAGAGTAGAAAGAGGGGAAAATCCCCATTTATTCCCTAAAGCTGTCTCCCAGAACCCATAAAAAGGGCTATTGCAGGGATGGGAAGAGACCTCAACTCCTCTGGCCAGAAACCTTTAACACTTGACTCCAAAAACTAAGGCTGGAGCTGTGGGGCTAGGTTAGGGGTATTAGGCACAGGTGTTAGGGGCATCCGTCATCTACAGAGGGGACACCCCTGCCTTCAGAATCTTCCTCCAGCCCCCTTTCTCTTGCAGCCATACTCCTAGGCCTCCAGAAACAGCCACAAAAAATGGCTCTGCTCAGCAGGGCTTTGGTTTCCTGGATCTCTGTAGATCTCACCACGTAAGTTTCCCAAAAGGTGAGCGATCCAGGCTCTTCTGCCTGCTCACCTCAATTCCTTTTCTGCCCCCAGAAGCCATTGTGTTTCTGCCCCGTGGGGATGGGAAGCCAGTAGAAACAAGGACCAAGAGCCAGACATGGAAACAATCACCCTAGAAGAGCAAGGAGGGATGTGTGCACTTCCCTGGGCCACCTTGCCAATGTCAACCGTCGTTAGCAGCCACTAGCTGCCCCATGCCCTCTCGAATGTAGACAGACTGGATCTCCTTGGTCTTCAGGCAGAGATCGCAGGCCCAGACAGCAGAGGCCTCAGTGGTCAGCAGCCCATAGGCACTCTCAGTCATGCCCGTGCATTCACGGTGGAACCACTTCTGGCAGGAGGCCTCACAGAGAATGGCATCCTGGTCGTCGTTCACCTCACTCCGACAGGCACCACATGGGTACACCAAGCCTGGAGGAGGCTGGGGCCCTGAGCCCCCACCTGCCTTGCCAGGTGCTGCCAGGCTGTTGGCATCCGGAGTGCCCCCACCCCGACCACTGCTGTTCGGGGGGAAACTGGGCTGGTTCCCATTAACAGCAGCAGCTGGGGAGCCTGAGTGGGGCTCCGGGGGAAAAGCAGTGGGAGCAGGTGGGTTCAAAGGCTTCCCCCCATCCTCACCGCCAGGGCCAGGAAAGCTGGGGTCCGGACCAGGGAAGGGACTTGTGTTAGGGGGCAGGCTGGGGAGCCCCTGACCAGGTCTCTGGAGAGGAGAGGGGCCGAAAGGAGCCCCTGGCTGGGCAAATCGTTGGGGAAGGGAAGGGGGGCCCAGATCCCCTCTGGGAGGCTGTCCCATGGTGGGTGAGATCATGGGGCCAAATCCCCCCACTGGTCCTGGCATCATCTGCCCACCAGGAGGACTAAAATTTTGACCCAGAGGCTGATTGAAGGGTTGGCTGGGAAAGTTCATGTTGCCTGGGGGTGGGTAGCCAGGGCCCTGGGGGGGCATGTTGAAAGCAGGGCCCATAGGGTTGGGAGGGAATGGTGGGGGCTGTCGACGAAGTGGCTGGGGACCTCCTCCACCCCCAGCGCCATAGCCTGGGGGTACCTGGCCTGCCATGCCCCCCTGTACGCGAAAGCCTCCAAAGGGCACAGGACTGCCAAGGAATGGAGGGGCTGTGCCCCCCACCTTAGGGGCTCCGAAGTCATCCTCAAAAGGGTTGGATGCAACCAGGTGATCCACCATGGGTGTTGGGGGTGGTGCAAACTCCGTCAGATGTGAGTATGCAGGGCCCTAGAGGGGAACAGATGAGGAAAAGAAGGTCATGGAGGGGGACAAAGAGCTGAACCAAGAGAGCACCACAAACACCATGCACACTTTGGAGGCTGATAAATGGCCAGTTCGGATCTAAAATCAAGACGGAACTTAGAATGTAACAGAGAAATAGGAGACTTGGAACCAGCATAGTACAGTTTTGAAAAACAGACAGAACTAGACTGGAATCCCAGCTCTGCCCCTTAATAACCTCAAGACCCTGGAGCAGGTACTTAACTTTTTTTAAGCCTCAGATGTCTTGTCTGTAAAATAGGAATAATGCCTATTTCCCAAAACTGTTTAGCACAATCTCTGGCACTTAGAAAAGGCTGAGTGAATGTCAGGTGTTATGTTAGCATCATGAGAGAACCGGGACAGGAAAAATCAGGGAGAGGAAAATTGTAACCCTGACTGATAAGACCTTTGGTTAAATCATCTCTTGGGGGAGGTAATTCCCCCTAAATTTACTATAAGGTTGAGGGAAAGGACCAGAAACAGAGAGACAGTTTTCTCTTCTACCCACACCTGATGCAAGATACAAACAGATACTGAAGTGGCAGAGTAGACAATGCTCCACCAAGCGGCTGCCAGGAACTACCCCCACCACCAACCACCATTCACCTGAGTATTTGACTTTCTTCGCTTCTTTTCTGGACTCTTCATTTGCAGACCTGGAACAGCAGCAAAAGGAAGACGCAGACAAGTTTCCCTGAGGTTTCCCCAACCTCCTTTCTCACAACCATGCTCTGAAAACTCCTCTAACTTCAATATACATTTATTTAATGCTATTAATAACAAGGGATGTAGTATGAAAAATGAATTGTCAATATGATCATACTCTCAGCTACGTTTTAAAACGATATCCCATCTTTTGAAACCTTCAGGCTCCAAGTGACTCCTGAATTCCATGTGGCTCCAAAACCCCCAACCCCTGGAAAGCTACACCCACCCACCCTTTCCACGTGGACCTCCCTTCAGGCTACGAACCACCCGCTCCCCACCAACCCCCACCCCCACCCCCGAGGTTCCCTAGTCCTGGGCCTCTTCAGCCCCCGCCCCTCGCAGCGCTCTCACCGGCCTTTCCCTGCTTCCTCCCGGTGCTGGGCGGCGCAGGGGGCGGTGCGGGGCCGCCACCTCCCTCCAGCTTGTCCGGTGGGGGCGGCGCCGAGGCGGCCATGGAGTGGGGACCAGGGTCAGCGGCGGCGGAGGATGGAGGCGCCCTCGGGCTGCACCATCGCCCGGAAAGGGAATCAGGGGCAGCACAGGCCCCCGAGCTGCAGCAACCCCAAAGTGCGGCCAAGGACAGGCGCCCAGCCGGGGCCCGAACTGCGCGCTCGCTCCAGACTCACCGCCCGCCAGCGGCAGCAGCAACCGGAACCGGAACTCGGCTCGGCCACCTCCACTGAGCGCTGCGGGGTGGGGGAGCAAGAGTGGCCAGACTCCACGCCTGAAAGCACCGGGAGGGGGCGAGGCATACCACGGCAGGACCCTAGTGGAGAGGGTCGTTTCCCGTTAGAGGAGCGGTCCATTCCTGCTCACCCAGGGGCAGCGGCGACCACCGGCCCCTGCCGCGGGACCGTACCATCCCGGGCGGTGGGGCCGCCGCGGAGGTGCGCGCGCGTGCCCGGGCAGCCTGGGGACCGGAGTCGGGGTTCCCAGGCGTCCGCAGCCAGCCCCTTCTGTGCACGCGACATCCCCACCGGGCCCGGGGTTCGGCGGGCCCCGCTCTGCCGCGCCCTCCCGCGGGCTGACACGACCTCCGCCACCCCTCCCGCTGAACGCCCACGGCGAACACAATAGGCTCTCGAGAAGGGCTAAGAGGCCGAGGTAGAAGAAATACAGACTTTAATGATTATTTTTCCCTTTGGTATAAGTGAGACCCGTGAAAACATCCAAACAACAACAACAAAAGAAGGCCTGGAAGAAAAGTCAACTCCCCCTATCCGCAAGGCCTAGAGAAAGTGCTGCCGGCTTCTCTTCGCGGCCGCACCGCGCCCAGTGCCCGGCCTGGCCAGTAGAAGGTAATCGGTAACTGCAGGTTTTAAGTTTCCCCACGCATTCAGCCGAACTTCTGCCTCCCAGCCTCGCCGAAAGAGGCCTAAGTTTTTCTGGTTCTAGCTCGAAATCAATTTCTGCCTCACGTCTCCCTTGTATAAAAGATAATGCTCCTGATCCAAGTTACCTCACAGGCCAGGGTGAGGAAAATGCCGATAGTTGTAAAAGGGCTTGGAAAAGTCAAAGAGGTGGTGTATAAATGCAATCGATTATTGTTACTTTGTGCTCAAGAATAAACCATGGAAAACAAAATTAGGAAAGTAATTCTACAGCCCTAAAATATATGCATATAAAATAAAAATTGGATGCAGTTCCAAATCTACAGATGGTATTTGGGGATTGTCTACTGCTTTAGAGTCTCAATGCCCCTGTTCCCGCCCCACAGAATCCACCTGGGAGAGTTAACTGTAAAGGAGGCCCAAATTCAGTCACCCCCTCCCCCACTACCCCAGAAGGGGAGGCAGGGGGAGGCAGGGCTGCATTTTGGCTGTAGAGTATAACAAGCATGCAACGTAGGAGGGATGGGGCTTATGAAATGTATGTACAGACCCCTTGGGGTGAGGGGCCCCGGCCAGGAGGCACTGAGCAAGGGAGGGGTCCATCTCCCCCCTGGCCGGGAGGGGGGGCTCTGGGGCAATCTCTAAGGGTTGCATATCCCCAGGGAGAGGGGACAGCTGCCACTCCTGCCTCTGTTCTCCCAACCCAAACTGGAGGGTGGGCTGAGCAAGGAGAAGGCAGGGTCCCAGAAGCCAAGAAGGTGTCAACACCCCTGTCAGTGAACTCAGGGGCCTGAGAACTCTTTGCATAAAGTATCTTCAGACCTAGGAGATGGTCAAAGGCACAAAGTTTAAACACTGGGGTGAGGGTTGTTCAAAGGAGTTTGGGGCACCCTGAAGCTCAGGGGTAAACCAGAGGTGTGGTTCGTTCCCTCTTCCCCAGAAGGGTGCTTGCTCCACTGGGCCTGTCACCACAGGACATTTTCCATTACAAGCACTCACCTTCTTAGGGAAGGGGGCATCAGGTTGGCACAGGAAAGGCCCAGGTAAAGGGCCACTCTGTACATTAATACTTTGGTGATGTTTGGGGAGAAGCAAGATTCTACCCCAGGCTCCTGACTCAAACCCTCTCACACAGCTAGGTATCAAACCCAGTGTCCACACTATTCCCAGCACCTATACAAGGCCAAGCCCACAGAACACTCCCAAATGAGGTCCTGAGAGTTAGGGAACAGGGTGGAAGGGGCTGGAGGGCATCTTCTGGAAGACAGCGTTGGGACGGATCACAGTTTTCGCTCCACAGGTTGCTGTAGACACAGTTCGCTGCCCGCAGAGATGATGGGCAAGTGATTGTCCATGTGGTAGCTGATGAGGTGACTGACACTCTCAAAGCGGTGATCCTTTGTCCGAACCTGGAAAGGTAGGAAGGAAGAGGGTCAATTCCAGTGAAGAGTCAAATAAGACCTGGTTTGTAGCCATTGAAAGACGAGTAAAGAAGAAAAAAAAAAATCAGACCTGAGTCCCCAAGGTTGAGGAAGGTGGAAGAGTCAGGAGGATTAAGGAAGGAGAAAAATGGCAGGGGGAGGAGGGTGGGACTGTCAGGCCTGCTCCTTGAGGTTTCTCTATAAAGAGAAGCTAGAGACAGTTGTGGGAATGGGCAGGTCAGTAAACTGGGAAAAGGCAAAAGAGACATTAGCCCAGAAACAGTGAAGCTGAGGGATATCTACACCTTTCCTGACCTGAAAGAAGTTGGCATGTCTCAGAGGAATATACATAGTACAAAAAGAGATGAGGAAAGGAGGCAGAGATTGCTGTAGAAAAGAGACCAAAGTTTTGAGGAGCAGTGGGACAGTGCAGATAAGAGAAAGGACAGTGGTCTGAGCCCTGAGTCTAGGAAGCTGGGGAGGCCCCTGGCTCCTCTTGGGAGAGGAAACTTGGGGTGTCTAGTCTCTAATACTGGCATCACAACCTCTCTAGGGTGGTTTCCTCATTTGCCAAAAGAGGGGCACAGGTGAGATGAGCACCTTCTAGCTCTGATGGGTGTAAGGCCTGGGGATCTGAGGAATGGTCAGGACTGTAAGCAACACAGCTCAGGCTCAGGGATACAAGAAGGGAAGGACCCCTAATCTGCGGGAGGAGGACACCCAGCACCCTGAAGAGCAGGAAAGGCCCATTGTGAGCTGCCCAGCACAGAAAGTCTAGAAAGCAATGTGGGAAGAAACAGAGCTGCACTACAGGGTACGGTACCTTCCTTTCTGCCACCCTCCACCCATCCCTCCACCGCACTCACCACACCCTCAGGGTCCACCAGTAGCAGGTGCTTGGGCTGCCCACTCTGCAAGCCAGTGAGCACATACTGGCCAGGTGTGGTTGTGCTCTCCCGCACCAGGAAGTCCCCATTCAGCTGCAGCAGAGCCTCAGCCTCCCGCCGGCTCAGCTTCCCATGGAACCAGGGCTCCCCTCGGAGCTGCTCAGCCATGGACACTGACTGGGAAGGTGGAGGCACCCGAAGAGCATCTTCAAAGGGCTCTAAGGGTGTAGAGAGAGGGTTAGGAGAGGCAGCTGGCACAATACACACCCAGTACCCAGAACTTCAGGAAGGGAAGAGGAGATGGGCAGGAGAAGAGGAGGAACCAAGGAGGAAGGTGGGGATGCAGAAAGGAGAAGGGAGCACTCACTCATGTCAAAGAGATCCCGAGGTGCACTGCCATTGATGGCAGGATTGGGGGGCCCAGCCCCTGTTTGCCGGGCCTTGTCTAGGTTCTGGACGTTGACGTAGGAGGGATCATCAAAGAGCTCTCTGCCTGCTGAGGAAAGGGAGGCTCTACAGTGACCCCCGCCCTGCCTCCAGCACTCCTGGCTCTGCCCATCTCAGCTCCCTTCATACCTGGGCAGGGTGGTGGAGGCGGCAACTGTTTGCGGATTTCTGGGTCTCCCCCAACAGGCTGCCCTACGGGCTGCAGGGATAAAAATAAGGTAAGACCAGAGGCCCTAACCAGCCACTTCCACCCTAGGCTCAGCCCACCTCCATCCAAGCTTACCAGAGTGGCGCCCAAGTGGCTGGGTGTCTGGGTACTGGGAGGAGTGGGCCGAGCAGCCCCTGGAGTGGCTCCTTCCCGAAGCCTCATGTCTACCACCCCCCCAAGAGGGGGTTCCTTCCCTGGGAAGTCATTATAGTACTGATGATCAGGTGGCTCTTCCTCCTCCTCATCCCAAGCTGAGCCATCAAAGCCAGCCATCCTGAGAGGAACAGGAGGGAGTGAGAAGTATGCGTGTAAATGTGTGGTGGGTGGGAAGATGGGCGGAAAGGAAAAGGACAGTGGCCACATATTGGGCATTTACTAAGGGCTAGGCCTGAAGCTGGGTGTTTTTTTACATACATAATCATTTCATTCTCCTGGCAACCCTATAAGGTAGGTATTGTTTCCTTCCTCAATTTATAGATAAGGAAAATGAGGGTCAGAGGTGAAAAGATTGGCACAAGGTCTCACAACTAAAAGGTGGTAGAGCTGAGATTTAAATTCAGGTTTGACATTAAAGATCATGTCCTTGATCACTGTGCTGTCTCCCAAGAGGGAAGGGAAGCACTACATAGCAGGGAGGGGCTGCCCCAGAATATTTTAACCTCTCCTAAATAATCCCTACTGGTCCCACTGCTTATCCCTAAAGGCCTGAAGTGGGAAAGGTAGTGATCTCAGGGAAAAGAGATATCCTCCCTAATCCAAATTCCTTTTTTTTTCTTTTTTTTTAAAGAGATAGGTCTCACACTGCCACTGAGGCTGGAGTGCAGTGCAATGGTGGAATCATAGCTTATTGCAGTCTTGAACTCCCGAGCTCAAGCGATCCACGCGCCTCAGCTTCCCAAGTAGCTGGAACTACAGGCACACGCCACCATGCCTAGCTAATTTTTTTTTCTTTTCTTTTCTTTTTTTTTTTTTTTTTAGAGACAGAGGTGTCACTATGTTGCCCAGGCTGGTCTGGAACTCCTGGGCTCAAGCTGTCCTCCTGCCTCGGCCTCCCAAATAGCTAGGATTACAGGCATGAGCCACCACACCCAGCCCTAATCCAAATTCTTAGTTGACTTCTAGAGGTAGGAAAACACAGAAAGACAAATGGAGAAATGCACAAGAAAGAAGGACAGGCCAAAAATGAGGAGGCTGAGAACAGAAAATCCCATCTAGCCAGAGAAAAAGATGCAACTTGAAGGCCTGGAATAGAGCTCCACCATAGGCAAACAAGAGGAAGAGCTGGCCCTACAGCAGGCAGGGCCTCAAAAGACTTTCTGATGGGCCACAGGAAATGTAAGAATAGCAGGAAGTGGGAAGCAGGG